GATAGGATTGAGGGTATCAGGTAGATTTTGAATGTGAGTCGAGTAGTTTGAAGTGACTGTAATGATATCAATTAGAAACTCGGTTCGTGGTGGCACATACTCCCCCCATCAATACCCTTTACTTTATAGAAAGCAAAGGCTTACTTACCGGGCTTGCCAGCCAATCTTCCTTTTTCTTAAAGTATTTACCTCCGTGCTCCTTGTGGACAAAGGGTTCAAACGTGAATTTGCTAATCGTCTCATATATAATATTCCAATAAGGGAATGACGCATGTAAACTGCTTTTTGTTCGAATTTTCTTTTTACTGCAAGCTTTAATCTCTCGCTTTATGCTAGTTTAGTAGCATATGTGGATTACATGTATGCATTCCGTTATGCTAAATTAAAGAAAGCAACACCGATAATAACATTGAAAGAAAAGTACAAACAATTCGATTTAACAGATTGTGTTTATTCAACCATATCGGTATATTCTCCATTTCACCGAATTTATGTTCGTTGAGAGAAATTGAAAACCTCCACCCCCTTAATGTCATTGTTGCAAATAATTCATTCATTTTATCGTCTATTTGTACACTAACCTTACATTAATTTATGCGAATCATTAATATGTGAATGAAAATATTTAGCCTTGACTTTATATAGTGAGTCAAACACCAACCAATAACTCGCTGACACGCTTGGATTTAACTAACTGTAATACATTACTGTGTACGTTATTGGCCGGTTTTTATAATCTACCATTTGAGGTATAACAGAGAAATTAGCACCTCAATAAGACGGCTTTTCCGAACGCTCAATTAGCAATTCTCTATCAAGTTCTTGATCCCATTTATACGACATGCCAAGAATTCATATCATTCAAATGAATAAATTTATTGTTTATACACATATATAAAGCTAACCCCACCCAGAGAATGAGTAGGGAAACCCCCATATACATAGCAACAAAAAACAGAGAAAAAAACTTCGCAATTAATGTTAAAAAATCCCTCTAACAAAAAGCCTCCAACCAATTATCGAACAAACATAAGAGATTATCGTAACTGTATTAATGACTATCACACCCATTCAAATAAGCCAAAATTCTGACAGCGCACTTTTCTCTACTGCTATTCCTACTTCTCCAATGGTGCCTCTATTTAATTCTGCAGATACGCTTACTTTTAATGAACGCTATCTTTTGGTTAACCCACCTTATACTCTCAACGCTCCCCTTGACACACTTATCAATCCAAGACGTGGGCGAAGCATAAATCAAGATTCAAAGCTCCCTCGACCGCCTAATGCATGGATTATTTTTCGCACAAATTTCGCAAGCAGAGTACGATTTCAAGATTCTATTAATTACTACAGTGTTCAAGAAATCTCTAAGCAGGCTTCTAAAGATTGGAAAAGTCAGCCACCTCTAGTCAAACAGTTCTTCGATGTCCTTTCTAAATTGGCCACACAACGTCATAAAGAAATTTATCCTGGCTATATTTACAAGCCAAGAAGAACAAGACAAAACCGAAGAAAGAATTTGTTTAGAGAAGTGAATACAGAGAAATTTAAAGAACGTAAAATTGATAAAAATAGTACCAAAAAGAAAAACAAAGAAAAAAGAGACAGCGATCAATTGACTAACTCCGTCCAACTGAACGAACACGAACAATTGAATGGATATGCTCCAATTGAAGAATCAGACGCTCATATTCAACTGAACGCAAATGGACAACTTCAAGCATCGAACAAATATGCTCTATTAAATAACAATTTTCAACTGAACGAACAGTTTCAAGCATTGAACAAATACAAACCTATAGATGGATATTCTCTGGTTCAACTCAACAAAGACGACCCGTTGGTTGGAAGACACGAATATGCTCCACCGAATGAATATAATGGACTGATTAGATATATTGACGATCAGCAACACAACTCACTGGGTAAGAACAGTGAAAGCTTGCACATTAATTGGCATAGCATACAGAATAACGCATACTACGTCGGCGTTCAGTCTGATAACAGCAATCCAATAAGCAGTGGCGTAACTGATATTAACGATATATGTAGTTCCGCTTCTCTATGCTGTAATAATAATAATAGTGATATGTCAAACGCCGGTTATTTTTTCAGTGAGCCACCACAACAATCGGCAAATTCTATGCAATTACAACAAATGCAACCGCAGTCTATTATGGTAGATCATTCACCTTATTTGGCTCTCAATCCAATGCCATCTGCATTTCACAGCAGCAATCAAAACCACAACGTAAATTTGTTTACTAACCCGTTATGGTTATTTTATACAAACAACGGCATTTAGTCGCTTGTTATCAACTTTGAACGAGAGAATGTTTATTTGTTCATCTGTTTCTCCTTTATCTTCAATAACAGTTGGGTAATATAATTTTAAACTTTTTAAATTTGTTCATAATGTTTCTGTTTTTTATCAAGTCCATTGTAGTTTTAAGTTCAAATTCTTTATCACAAGATGTACTAAGATATGATAAGACCATAAATAGCGGCATAGTGTACGAATATGCAAGGTATATTTTAATAGTTGAGTGACTGTAAACAATAAGATTTTTCTTCCCTGTATTGATTATTTAACGACCAACTCTTAAACAGTGTTGGTTAAGGTATTAAATAAGAGTATGTTGATGTTTGGAAAATATGATCGCTGTTGCAAAATACGGGGTATGCTGGAAGGCTTTAGTCGTCGTATTATCTTGAAGGCAGCTTATTTACCGGATTTGTCAACATACAAACGCTAATATTTTTCTTGTTAAACCTCCAGTGATGTTTTGACTTCTATCTATTATATTGTGGGGGGGGGCTGTTGAAACGCTCGTGACCTGGAATTGATCACGTAATTGGTATGGGGTGGGGTAGCTAAAATCTATCACGTTATATTGCGAGGTACAATCACTGTTGTCAGTAGCAGAACATTTCACTGTCAGTGATAGTGAGTGATAGAATAGTGATGAAACGCTTCAGTACATTCTAATCGTATACTAAAGAATTCGATAGAATAGTAGAATTAGCTGCTAAGAATATATCAATTAGACCGCTCGGAAGATATATAAGTAGCGTAGATTTCAGTTAGATAGAAGTCAGTCAATAAGTGCATGTTTAGCATGTCTAATTACTCTCGATTC